AGAGCCTGAAATAATAGAGAAACAGACAGGTGCAAAAAAAACAAAATACCTGCATGGATTATTACAAACCAATTGCACAAGTCCACAATTAACCTCGTCATAAATACGGAGTAAGTATGTATAAGCAAACAAGTATGAAAGCTATAACTTTGTTGCAAGCAGATACCTAGGAGTATCCACTACTTAAGTGGATAACCTTAAAATATAACATTTTACATCATTGTATTCTTTTTGAAATTCTGCCTGCTGAAACACATCAAACTATTTTTAAAAACAAAATAATGTTCACTGAATAAGGAGAGGCCTGCAGCATAACCTGAGGTTCAAGCATGGGCTTTGGGGGCTGGTTGCGGGGCGGGGGGGGGGAACGTCTCAAAGGCAACGACCACCAGAGATACAACTTTTGAATCATTGTCACAAGCCACAGGAAAAGCAGCAGCCTCTTAAATAACTGGATTCTACGTTATACAATAATTAAATACCCTTCCTATAGGAAACTGTCTCCTATTTCTAAATTAAACTACCTCATTTTCCCTATTCAATATCCTTCCCACGATTGTATGTATAAATGCTAAGAAAAATACCTTTGCTCTAATTCAGTTGGCTCTGAGTAGATTTTAATATCTAATTAAGATGGGTCACTATTTCAAAGAGACACCACTGGACATTAACCGAATGATTGTATATAGCATTGACTCAATTGGCAGCACTATTTTCTTTGGGTCTGGAACAAGGTAATGCCCTATGCAAGAGTTAATTGCTTTGATCCATTCTGACTTCTGGAAGAACGCCTTTTATTAATGTAACAGAGATGCCTTCCAAGGTTTTCTTATCACCAGAATCAATGCTGCTAACGATGCTATATTTCAGAGGTGATCTAACACTAAGGCTCTATTTTTGTTCACTGCAAAGTCCACAGCCCTTTTTACAAGAAAGAAGATAAGAGCTTTGCAAACTTGATAAAATTCTGCTTTGGGTAACTATGTACCACCTAAGTTTTTATTACTATTTCTATCGAAAAGTTTCCTTCTTTCTTGTCATGCCATATGGCTGAGTGCAGTTAAGGAGTACTCACATTTCTTCAGTAATAGGACTTGATCCTGAAGACCCTACTTATACAGGTAAACGTATGCAAATGTGTGATGAGACTGTCTAAATAAAGTTTGTAAAACACACTGACATTACAGAACTGTAATGGATCATTATAAAGCATTAATATACCGAAGGACTGCAAAACAATAAGAATTTTTCCTTGCCATGACATATTTCCCTCCCACCCTTCCAAGCAGAGCAAATTAGCATATCTTCATACTTCGTAGTTTTAATCAAACGTAAGTTCTGTAATACAGTTCCTAATTTACAAGAAAACAAAGTAGTCAGTAAATGAAAACAAGCACAAAATACATTCCTTACTGAAAACAGACATATTGACTAACTTTTCAAACTATACCAAGACTTAAAACATATCTCAAACACATGATTGCCATTTACAAGTCAAAGTCAATTAACATAAGCTATAAACCTGGAACTCAGTCTTGCACAAGCAAAACAAAAGGAAAATTCCTTCCATTTTTGGGTTGGAGAATGACAAAAGCAAAACTCCAAACAGGCAATGCCTAGGAGATCCCACTATATTCAAAATATTACCATCATTCCCCACTAACCACAGCTCTAGTTTCTAAAAAACCTAAGAAACAAGAATTGATGGACAATAAAAAGATATAAAGTCTTTGGCTTTTTATTACACACTGTAAAGCACTGGTTTACCAGGGAAGCTGTACACTACGTTAACCCCTGTTCTTCTATCAGAGTTAACAGCGTGGTACATGACACCAGAGCAGTCATGCAGCTGCTCCCTTCGACCCTCTCATCAGTGTAAACACATTCAAACGTCTCGAAGTCTTCATTTTCCTAGTTTATACCTACTGAGATGATTACCGTAAGGACTTCAACATCTTAAAAGTTATAGTAGAATTGTATTTTTTTTATTCTTAAAATTCTTCCACGTAACACAACAGCTTAGAATTGTTTAAATCATAAGATATTCGCATGTTCTGTAATAAATTTAAGCTAGCCTAAGGTAGAGATACGTTTACAGCCCCTTTCATTTGTCAATAAATGCACAATCACTAGTTAGAACTAAAGTTTCTGAAACGACAGTATTTACAAATGGCGATAATCATTTCACTGAGATCTCCAAAATTGCTTTTTAGTTACTTTCCACCATTTAATCTAGTGCCTCTTCTTCACCTTCGAGTTCTATGTTTTAAATTTGAAGCCTGATTCAGCACCATTGCAACAGAAGGGAGTTTTGCAGTTAACTTCCTGGGCTTCATTCCCATTATTCTGACTTAACTGCTCTCCTCGTTTTTCTTCTGTTTATGCCCAACTTCTCTATCCTTTTATTTCTGTTTGTTCATGCTGCTATCACCTACATTAGGCTCTGCCTCCTAATTTCTTCTGCATTATCATTTCTTTTTCATGAAAGCTTAAAGAAATTGAGAACGTAAAAGGGTTTGAATAACCGCATGATGTGAGCATAGAAGAATAAGTAGATCAATGGTGGTTTTGCGTGTGTTTTTTGGACTCTTGAAGCCCTACAAGTTTTCCTTCGGAAGCAGTACCTAGGAGCATTAAAAAATATGGTGAGTTGAGGGTTTGGGGTTTTGTTGTTGTTGTTGTTTTTTCGCTAATCACCTCTCATGAGCCTCTCAGAAACAGTCTATGGAGCCCCAAAGGTCCTATCTTTACTTAAAGACCGCTGAATTCGACCACGACTTATGGAAGGAACTTCTCTAATTCTGTGATGTACCTCCACTACGTTCTGTAAGTAATTTTTTACTGTTTATCTGCTAAGCTACATCATAAAGTAGTAATTTGCAAGGAGCTTAATCATTTTGCATTTCCACAATGATATGTAAATTCACAATACTCTCTTATAAATAAAGTGATATATTTGTAACAAATACATATAACAAAAACCTTTCCTGTAAATATAACAAAAACCCTTCCATGCATGAAATTTCAAATTTCAAAGAAATGCCAAAGAATTATTTGCTAATAGATCCTGTTTTAGAATGTTTTCAAGAAACTTATTTGTAAATAAATAAGAGCCCTTAAGAAATAATTCTCAAATAAAACACAGAATCTTGATTATACCAACCCTAAACAACTTCAACCCATAAACAAGCCTGAACATTTAAAAAAAAAAAAAAAAAGAGGCACATACCAAAGCATTTGTGTTCCAGAATAAGATAAAAATTAAACGTTGCTAGCACTTGCATATAACAGAACCTATTCCCCTCCCTCAAGGGCTGTACTTTGTGTTCTAGACACCATGTTCAATACAATAACTGAAGAATTGGAATCATTTAAGTTAAACTCTTAGAAAACATTCAGGCTTTATCAAAGTAAACTCAGTAACATCACTGGACAAAAACTTTTAAAAATATCACTTTTTAAAAATATCTCTGAAAAGAGTCGGCTGGAAAACACTGGTTTAAATTACTTTATTTTTTTTTTTAAAGACAGAGAGCATAAGCAAGTCAGCGGGCACAGAACAGAATCTTTTCTACTTCCTGATCAGCTGATGCCTTCATCACTGAACTACAGCTGTTTTCTCTATCTTTCGCATTCTTCTTTCACAGACTCAATAGGAGAGATGTAGGATAGCTCCCATCTCAGCCTTCCTAAGGAGACCAATTCAAGAGAAAACAAGGTCTAGCATGAATGGAGGGTTGCAGCTGCGTAACTGCTCAGCCCGTGTCACATAATTTGCAAGCCTAAATACAAAACCAGACAGAACTAATAACAAGGCTATACCTTCTTAGACCTCCCAGTAAATCTGCACTCAGTCACAGCACCTTACAGGCAGTAAGAGAGGAACGAATGATGCTTCTCAAACTAACCATAGCATAGAATTCAGACCTCCTTCCTGAAAAGATAGTGTAACTGTCGGGGGGATGAAATCATAACAAAGCAGCCTTCAGAAGCACTTCAAACCAAGGTTTCAGTAGTGTTTTCAACCAAGGTTTAATCAAGAGTGATCTGTGGTGGCGCTCAAGAAATCGAAGCTTGGCTGAGGTCTACTAGACAAAAACGTTGGGATCTACTGGATTAGGTTATCATTCAAAAATGGACACAATAAAACTACATTTAAAAAAAAAAGGAATACAAACTAGTAATTCATACCAAATCGATGATTTAGACAACTAGAGCCAAAGTAATTTCAGGCTTTGAATTCCATTCTCAAATAAGTACCTGAATCAGGGATAGCGTCAGATGCCCGTTTCTAGAAAAATAATGGAATTTCTGACACCTCCTATCTCTAGGATTCTTTATTAGCCACCTTGGGAGTTTCCCTGCTCTGTACAACAGCTAAAGTGAACTCTGCCTCTAGCACTTCACTTCCCCCATGTATTATTCCTGGCGGTTACACATCAGAGTCCTTTTCTACATGTGGATCTCAAATTTTATTTCTCCTCTGAAAACCACCTGGTACCCTTCTAGGTTTAAAAATAAAAGGAGTAACTTAACTTATTTCAAACACTTGGCCCCAAAGCGAGGTCATGCACTGATCTTGAGGGAGGTCAGATGAATGAAAAGTTCATCTTTTCTTATTGAGTATATTCATGACTACAGGCAATGTCACACAAATTTATCTTAGCATATTTAATTTACAGAAGAGATCAAGTAAGCAAGTGATAAACAACAGGAAAGAGTATTCATAACTCTAGCTTACTGCTGAAAAACGGCACTATCAAGTGGCAGTGCTGAAAGTGTTTTAACAAGATTATTATTGCCAACAATATGACAAATTAAATCCCCCAAACTAGAAAGTGGTAATATGAAAAACAATCAAGCTAGTATGTCAGCTCCAGATATTCTGGAAATGTTTAAAAACATATTGACCTAGTAAAATCCAGTCCTGTAAAGACATTTGAACTGTTTGCTGTCTTGGGGTTGGGTTTCCTTTTTGGATAAGGGACTCAAACACTTACCCAGACTTCAGGTCTGTAATCCGTAAACAATTAGTAGCATCCAGTCCTACTTTTCCATTTCTGACCACACTGGAAATGAAAGGTGAGAGCGCTGGCGAAATTCTGTTCAAGGCAACTTCAGGTGACATTTTAATATGTTCCTCTTTCCTGTTGTCTTGAGCTGTATGGGGTCGGGGGAGGAGAATAAAAAAAAAAAAACCCTGCTTATTTGATGTAAATTCACATATGCTGTATGTATATATGAATATATATTTCAAAGGAAAAAGCTATGGAGTCAAATGATCAGGAACACAAAGCAAAAGCGTGAACAGGTTTATAAAGGAAAAATGAACACACAATAATTTTATCCTCCTACCTTGGCAACAGTCATGCAAGCCTATTTATTCAATCTCAACATAAAACCTGACCCATTTCCTAGGCCCCTGTAATTAAGACCCTATCCCTACCAAAAAAGAGAAGTCAAAGGGTGGCCATCCTGACCCCTCACAGCCCAGCCATCAGAGAACACTTCCAGGCAGAGCCTGCAGCTGAACAGCCACACTAGGCTATTGTTCTGTTCCCTCTGAATCTGCAGGACTCTTGCTACCGGGACCAGCATTTGACTCTCTCCCCTTTTTTTTCCATTTATAATTTCTAATACCACTACTATTAGCATAACCATAATCACTATTATTTTTACATTACTTCATTAAGTAGCTATATACTGCATTTCATGTTTCCCTTTAAAGGCTAACACACTGCTTTTCTTTCAAAGCTATCACTGTACTCTTTGAAAGGCATCATCATTCACAAAACACGGAGCAGTACACTGACGTACACAAATTTTAAGCACAACATTTTCAGAAGTGCTTACAATTGTGTAACCTTACATTAATCAGTTAAGCCATTAAGTTAGTACACTTTAAGAATCTTTTCTATTTAGTTAAAATGCAGAAACTGAGCACACACATACTCCAGCCCACTGCAACACAAAAAGTGGATCAATACAGACTGCTGGGAGAAGAGAAAGTAAGCAAAAGAAAGGTAAGTAACTTATTAAAATGCTAACTTAATGTATTTCATCATACTCTGAGGCACATAATTCCATCTGAAAATTAACTAAACCTTGGATTTTTAGGAAAAAAAAACATACCTTCAAATGTCTCACGGTAATGCCAGTGAAAAGTTAGGTGGAAGAGCCCAGACTTTAAACTTGACCATTAAAAGATACTTAAAAAAAAAAAATCCATCTATTTGAAAAACACCAATTAATACAATATTTACTTCCTTACAAAATTATTCTGGGCAAGATTTCACAACCACTTCATTATTCATTTACATTCACAAATAATATTGATTGCTGTATAAGTGTTCTATAAAGAGCGTGAACAACTCATTGCAATAGCTGCAACTCACAATTTCATAATATCGTACTTTTCTGTTGTTTCCAACACTCAGTTACAAGTGTTAGTTGGCAATTAATGGATTTCCTAAAAACTGATAATTTCTTATAATTGGTAACAACATGAAACATTTGATTTATATATATTGCTCTTAAGAAATTCATCCACACTGAAGTACTGTGAACCAACCCTCAAGAAAGGGCTTATCCTAGCTATTCTGAACGTATTTGAACAAAGCAAAGGCACTTTAAGGCAAACAAAAATACTACTAACGTAAGATTTCTTACCCATAATATTATCTTTAGTATGCTAGTTCTTACATTTTACAGCAGCTAAAGAAACAGAAGACAACATATCTGTGTGTATATACATATACAGAAAATGTTTTTTCTTCATAGTGACGGATTTATGGTAACTGACAATGGGCAACAACCTAAGTTTGTTTAGCAAACATCAGGAGGAATTTAAGATGCTTCCTTCTGTTTGTTACTTCTTTTCTACCAGAAATGATTGCCTTTATTCTCACCTCTTTTCTTCCCCAGAGGAACTGACAGGACAGAACACAAGCCCATACTTGACCTATTTCAATGCAAAGTCCAGCAGCTTAGCTTGAACTGCTAATAAAAACGAGTTTAAGTAAACTCATAGGTTTTCCTCTAGAGTGGCTGAAACTGGGCACACATTGCATTCTGCCAGCTCTACTGTAGACAGAGAAACTTCAGACAGAGAGGCAGGGTTGGACACCTGAAGGTAAGCACTTCTCAAACCACAGCTACATGAAATCATGATACATGAGTACCTCAGAATAAGTTTTGGGGGATAAGCATTATGAGAGCAAAACTTTGAGACATAAAAGACACATTTGGGGATCAAAGCTGAATACAGACAGACACAATGGCCTACAGGAGGATTTTTTTTTAATCTTTTCACTAACAAAATACATAGATATTGTCAAGACAAGGTGCAAGTAACTCCTAAGCCTTTTTTATTTCTTGCATCATCTCTTTCAGATCCGCAATACCTTCTACACAACAAACCAGTTAACACACAACAAAGGGTCACTATCAGCTAAACTCACTGATTTATTTTGTAAACAAAGGGATTTACAAACTATAACACAGTTAGTTTCATCCTCCTAAGTTTTAGTTCTCATGCTTATGTTTTTTTCCCAGCTTAATCTTCCTGCAATACTGGAAACAGAACACAAACATACCAAATTAATCCAAGGGAATAAAAAATGAAATTCACTAGACAGTTTCCCTCCCAAAACAAAATATTTGAAAGCAGTAAACAAATTAATAGTTTAATCCTTTTAGATTCAGAAGCCTATCATAACTACTTCAGACAAATTTAACATATGCTTTACAGTCTTCACAGTAATCATAAATCTGAGGGACTGCTTCAGGCACCCTATAGTGTCCAGATGTAGGATACTCTGTTCCCCCAACACCAGGTAAAAACATTGCGAGTACTGATTAAGTTAATCTCTGTGAAAGTAAAGATGAACATTCTGATGGACAGCAGGCAGAGGGGTCACTCCGGAACGCCAGTGACGCCTTTCTATCTAAGCCTGTCACCTCCCACTCTGCAGTCTGTTTTTGTGCTTTTCACTTTGAGGATCGCAGTAACACACATCTGGGCCAGAGGTAAACAGAAAAGTTCAAGATTACTGCCATGTCTTCCCACCTCCTCTCGCGACGCCCAAACGCACTGCCACTAGCCATCCCCCAACGGGAACTACAACGCTGATTTATCGAGAGCCTCAAGGACCAAGCAGACGGCACACTTCCCCCCGTGCCCCTTAGCATTAACTTGGGGAGGAAGGGGGAAGGTGAGCGCTCCCTCCTCCCCCCGGCTGAGGCTCCTGGCTCCCGGCGCTGCCCC